ATGAACCTGCGGTGCCAGGGATCTAAGGGATCCTGCATGAAAACATACACCCTGCCATGGTGCCAGGGATCCCACATGAAAACATACACCCTGCCATAGTGCCAGGGATCCCACATGAATACATACATCCTGCCAGGACTGTCCTGGGCAGAGTGGAAGGAAGGGTTCTAAAGAAGGGCTGGGCGTTGATTGGCTGGTTGCACAGGAGGGAGGCTGCCGGGACCCTTGCTTGATTTTCTAAACCCAACTCTTTCCATACACAATTCCAACAGATGTAGTTGTAACAGTTCCAAATGTTTATTTATTTATTTATTTATTTATTTATTGCTTTTTGGGTCACACCCGGTGATGCTCAGGGGTTACTCCTGGCTCATGCACTCAGGAATCACTCCTGGCGGTGCTCGGGGGACCATATGGGATGCTGGGACTCGAACCTGTGTTGGCCATGTTGGCTGCGTGCAAGGCAAACGCCCTACCCGCTGTGCTATCGCTCCAGCCCCAACAGTTCCAAATGTTTGATGTCATGTATTACAGACGTCATCTGAGGCCCCCTGGGGCACTCTCTCCTCCAGAGAAGAGTTAAGTTTTAACCCTGAGCTGTTGAGTGCAGATTCCTTGGCTAAAATTTGCTATGCAAATACTTAACAGATGTGCATATTCTTAAATAAAATACACACTGGAATCATAGTACAGCTCAGCATTTTTCTTTTTTTTCCTTTTTTAAAAATGTTCATTTTATTTATTTATTTGCTCGAGCGGGCCCAGTAACGTCTCCATTGGAGACTTTGTTGTTACTGTGTCTTGAGGTCCCAACCAGCAGTGGTCAGGGGTCACTCATGGCTCTGTACTCGGAATTACTTCTGGAGGTGCTCAGGATGCCAGGGGTTGTGAACCTGGGTCACAATTCATACAAGGCCAGTACCCTACCCATGGTACTGTCGCTCAAGCTCAACATTTTTCTTACTTGACAATGCATAAATACAAACCAGCACGTAAACATAGAAGGAAGGCAGACACTGGTGAAGGGATTGGTGTGTGACATTGTGTACCTGGAATGCAATCGCCAATAACCTGATGATTCACGATGGTTCAATAAAAATAATTTTTTTCAAAGAAAGGGGGGCGCAGAGCAATAGTCCAGAGGGGCAGGTATTTGCCTTATAACATGGCTGAGTTAGGTTTGATCTCCAGTAACCCATATGATCCCCTGAGCACCTCTAGGAGTGATCCCTGAGTGCAGAGCCAGGAGTAGCCCCTGAGTATTGCAGGGTATGATCCAAAAAGAGGAAGAAGAAAAGAAGAAGAAGATTGGGAATTGGAGAGATAGTACTGTGAGTAGGGTCCTTGCCTCACATGAGGTCAACCCAGGTTCAATTCCTCTCACCCATATAGTTCTCTGCGCCCAAAGGAATGATCACTGAATACAGATTCAGGAGTAAGGCCTGAGCAATGCTAAGTGTGGCTCCCACTAAAAAAAAAAAAAAAAGGGAGGTTGGTTGGAGTATGAAGGTTAAGTTAAGACACTTGCCTAGAATGTTACTGACTCTGGTCCGGTGGGCCTCTGAATGCTGCCAGAGGTCAGTACAGAGTCAGGAAAGGTCTCTGAGCACCATGGCCCAACCTCTGCCCTACACCGCCCCCCCCCACACACACACACACTACCACCACCACAGTGCCCTGGGACTTTTCAGTTTTTAACATATGTGTTCACATTGTAGGCATATGTGTGTATACACATCTCAACACTGTTTCTAAACCAAATCACAGAACTTCATAACAGCTTTCGTGTGGTCACAGCACACTGTGGGTACCAGGGTCTTTCCCTGGAACAGGTGTACCATGATGGGCATTGGGGCCATTTCTGTTCCCTCACTATTCTCAGCAAAGATGCAAGGCACATCTCTGACTATGTCCGTTTGAGTATATGCAGGTGTTTCTGTACTGACTTTTGAATGACAGTGGAACCCCCTTGCCTGGGCTTTGCAAGTCCAGAGAGGAAGCACTTTGGCTTGTCGTAATCAATGAAGGGAACTATGGCATCTGGTAGGCCACATCCTGACCTTCCTGCAAGAAAAAGCACACAGGGTCTGGAGCAATAGTAAAGTGGGGAAGGCACTTGTCTTGTACATAGCCAACCCAGGTTCCAACCCTTGCACCCCACAGGGTTCCCTGAGCCTGACAGGAGTGATTCCTGAGCATGGAGTTAGTAGTTAGCTCTGAGTACTACCAGGTGTGACTACAAACCCTACTTCCCCCTCAAAAAAAAAAAACCCACAACAAAACAATTAAAAGACCAAAGATTTCTCCCTCCCCAGATACCAAGGGCACCCTCTGTTGGAAATTCATCTGGGGATGAATATTTGGAGCAGGAACAGTTATTCAGGAGGTAATATTTTTAATTCTAATAACCACTGCCAACAGGTTTGGGAAACAGTCTGTTTGGCCCTTGAGATACTCACTGTGGAAGCAGGCCAGCATCTGCCCGTCCCTTCGTGGTTCCAGATGCAGCACTGAGTGCCCAGCAATGCTCTCAGCACAGGGGTGAGTGAAAAACAGGTCACCGGGGCCCTCAGGAACCTCCAGTCCAAAGTTACAGCCACAGACAGGCCTCCCTCCTGACCCAGGATCCCTTAGTCTGTGTTCGTCTTTGTTTTGTTTTGGGGTTACACCCACTCGTGCTCAGGGTTCAATCCTAGCTCTGGAATCACTCATGATGGGCTTCAGGGGAGCTGCTGGGGTTTTGGGGATCAAGCCCAGGTTGAGAATATGCAAGGCAAGTGCCTTACCCATTGTACTCTCTCTCCGGCCCCTCTGTGTTCCATCCATCCATCCATCCATCCATCCATCCATTCATTCATTTGCTTTCTGGGCCACATTTGTGTGATGCTCAGGACTTACTCCTGGCTCTGCGCCCAGGGATCATTCCTAACGGGACTCAGGGGACCATGTGGGATACAGGCCAGGTCAGCCGCGTGCAAGGCAAACACCCTACCCACTGTACTATCACTCCGGCCCTCTCTGCTCCTTTTAAAGGACTCACCCCACTCTGCCTTGGGGGTTGTGAGCCCCAGACCCAGTCTCCTGGAACCCCCCACCCCATCGTGGGCTGGAGACAGAGGATGAACCAGCAGATTCTCTCCTCCCAGAAGTGGGATGGTGAGGGCAAAATCTGCCTCTGCAGAGGCTCCAGCATGACGTGGGAACAGTAGGGTTTGTGGGATTCTGCTATGCAGACAAAGGTCAGAGCGAAACAAAGAGCAGGCCCAGTGGGACAGACTGGGCTCCTGCCAGTTCCTAGATCTCTCCCGGGAAACCAGGCATCACGTCTAGAAACACACACCCAATGACCCTAATAAGTTCACAGTCCCCATGGCCCCGTGAGAGCTGGTTTCTGACCCCTCCTGCCCACTTGGCACCCAGAGTCCCTCACATGTGTGACAGGACCCCTGGGTCATTATCCACCCCACTGCATCCCCACCCGGTGGCCTTCCTGATCTCCTGACCTCAAATGAGTACTTGAGCAGTCTGAGTGCCTCTGGGAGCTAGATTTCCAAGGACAGGGAAGGGGGCCTGCTGCACCCTGGGCCCTCAGGACCACCCCACCAATCTGCAGGGGGGAACCACAAGTCTGCTTCAAGAGCTGCCTGCTGTCAAGCAATGTAAGCTGCAATCTTTCAATCTTTTTTTTTTCTTTTTTGGGTCACACCCGGCAATGCACAGGGTTACTCCTGGTTCTGCACTCAGGAATTACTCCTGGCGGTTTCCTGGAGGTGCTCAGGGGACCATACGGGATGCTGGGAATCGAACCCTGGTCGGCCGCATGCAAGGTAAACACTCTACCTTCTGTGCTATCGCTCCAGCCCCTGTAAACTACAATCTTACCAACAACCCAAGAACAGGATTGCTGCTACTCCCAATGCAGATGAGTTGGGAATGACTGCAATCTCAAATCCCACAGTGGGAAGACGTACTTCCTTACACACACAATTACCTTTTTTTTTTTTTGGTTTAGTTTGGTTTTGGAGCCACATATGGAGATGCTCAGGGCTTACTCCTGGCTCTGCAATTGGGAATCACACCTGGCAGTGCTCAAGGGACCATCTCAGATGCCAGGGATCAAACCCAGACTGGCTGCGTGCAAGGCAAGCGTTCTTCCCAGCTGTCCTACCACTCCGGCCAATCCTTATTTAAGTATCACTGGATATCTTTAATTCCCCCTAAATTATTATATCAAAGTCCAATAACATTCACCTTTTTTCCTCATTCCTGTACACAAGCCCTCACAAAATCAGGGGCTTTTCCCTCAATCCAGAGGCTTGACACCTGACCCACACAAAGGACATTTTACAATGTGTCCCAGGGCACATGCACCCACAATGGGGGAGAAATAAAAACATCTGGGTCCAGAGTGATAGTACAATGGGTCGGGCTGACATGGATTCTGTTCCCAACATCCCATATGGTCCCCTGAGCACCACCAGGAGTGATCCCTGAGTGCAGAGCCAGGAGTAACCCCTGAGCACCACTGGGTATAGTCCCTAAGCCCCCAAGACCAAAAAACACAAAAACAGAATGAAATTTGTTTTAAACCAACAAGACCTTCCATTTAACAAGGCTCAGATCCATAATCCAGAGCATGGGCTGGAGAGAGAGGAGGAGGAGAGTGAGAGAGAAAGAGACAGAGAGAGAGAGAGAGAGAGAGACAGAGAGAGACAGAGAGAGACAGAGAGAGGAGAGAGACAGGGAGGGAGGGGGAGAGAGAGAGAGAGAGAGAGAGAGAGAGAGAGGTCTAGATCACAGGCTTTGAATGCAGGAGACCCAGGTTTGATCCCTGGCACTGCATGGTTCCCTGAGCACTACCAGGAGAAGCCCTTGAGTACCACCGGGTGTGACCCCCAAGCCCAAATCAACCAGCAGAATTTCAAGGAATGCACAGGGTTTAGAAGCACAGCTGCCCATCAGCCAGGACAGGTGAGCAGGGGCAGCAGGCGGCCACTTACCTTAAAGTGGAAGGAACTGCCAGGGGACCCGATGGAGCCGTAGGACTCAGTTTTCATTCTGTTACTGCAGTAGAGATCAGCCTTGACATTAGCATTCTGATGAGTTCTCGGGTCCTCGGTGATGGGGCAGATAAAGAAACCTTCCTCGTCATCACTGTCTGCATCAGTTTCCCCGTTGTGGCCGGTCTGGCTGCCATCAACTCCCTCCAAGCGGAAGATAAGATCTTCCTCTGCCATAGTCTCGGATTCGGTGTCACCCAACGGGTGCACGGTCCAAGCAGAGTTACTGGGCAAATGCAGCGGTGAGGGGTCTGCAAAGGAATAAGAGAAAGGGTGCTGAGCCCAGGAGAGACAGTTCACTGGGCACTTCACCCCAAATGTGCATGCATACAAGCTGGCATCCACAGAGTGAAAACTCCCACTATCTTTAGGGGAAGCACTCAGCAAGCTGCCTCGAGAAACAGTTTATTTTCTATTTATTTACTTATTATTTCTGCAGTGCCAGGGATTATTGGACCCAGAGTTTCCTTCCTGCAAGGCACGTGATCTTCTGCTAAGCCACCGCAGATGAACGAACTCAGGATTTGCTAAAAGTAAACATTTCTCAGGGCTGGGGAAATAGCAGGTGGGGACCTTGACTGGCACACAGCTGAGCCACGTTCAGTCCCCGACATCTCATGGAGAGATCACCAGGAGCAATACCCGAGTAGAGAACCAGGAGTAACCCCGGAGCTCTGCCAGGTGTGGCCCCCAAACAAATACAGAAAAATTAAACAAACAGTCCTGAAGTCACTAGAATGATCTTTCCGAACACAATTGAGACTAAATCATGGTCTTATTTGAGAACTACTTCTGATGACTTCTCTCCACAACCTTTTTTTTTTCTTGCTTTTGGGTCACACCCAGCGGTGCTGGCTCTGAACTCCTGGCTCTGAACTCAGGAACTACTACTCAGGAACTACTCCTTACACTGCACTGGGGCCATATGAAATGCCGGGGACCCAACTTGGGTCAGCTTCGTGCAAGGCAAACGCCTTAACCACTGTACAATCGCTCTCTCCACAATCTTACAGAAGTCCAAACTTCTGAGCTGGAGAGACAGTTAGTACAGGGGTTACAGTACTTGCACGTGGCTGACCCTGGTTCAATGCCAATACCCACAGAGGACCCCCTGAGTACCACCAGGTGTGCCCCCCACCAAAAAAAAAGAAATACTTCAGAAATCTATTCAGCCTTCCTTTACAGAACGGGCTTTGCTATGGTGTTTTTTTTTTCTTTCTATTCTTGCCTCTCTCTTTTTTTTTTCCTTTTTGGGTCACACCTGGCGATGCACAGGGATTTCTCCTGGCTCATGAACTCAGGAATTACTCCTGGAAGTGCTCGGGGGACCATATGGGATGCTAGGAATCGAACCCAGGTCGGCCACGTGCAAGGCAAACACCCTACCCGCTGTGCTATCGCTCCAGCCCCTATTCTTGCTTCTTAATGCAGTACTGGCACTCATCTCTCAGCTCAGTTTAGAAATCACCAGTGGGGGATCGACAGCTGGCTCAGTTGCTGGCCCTCTGGGCTGGACACAGCTGCCGGCCTGGGCCTGGTGTGTGAGTCACCTGATCCAATCCCCAAGCCCAGGCCCCGGGCCTGCATCTCATGGTTCTCAGCCACAACAAGCCCTGCTCACCCAGGGGGGCGTGGCGTGGTAACCAATGCTGCCAGCAAACCCAGACAGGCCATTGATCCCTGAAGGCCAGGACTGTGCCCAGAAAGAGCCAGGTCATAGCTTCTGCCTGCAAACCTCCAGGCAGTGTGGCTCAATGGTGACACTGAACTCAAAAGCTGGGTCACCAAGGGCACAAATCTTGGCGACGCTGGCGGCAGTTTGACCTTCATCTCCCCTGCGCCCCCATTTTACAGGGAGGGGCACTCAGAGGACAAGTGGCCTGAACAGCGGCTTCGTTCCCAGCTCCCCTCTGAAATCCCTATAGAAAGAACACAACCAAGGGCTGGAGTGATAGCAGAGTGGGTAGTGACCCCTGTGCATCTCTGGGTGTGACCCAAAAAGCAAAACAAAAAAAAAGAAAGAACATGGAGAACATGACCAGAGCCATAGGACAATGAATCAGTGAATAGAACGTGGCTGACCCATTGGATCCCCAGCACCCAGTTTGGTTCCCTGAGCACTGCCAGGAGTGATCCCTGAGTGAAGATTCCTAAGCACTGTCGGGTGTGACCCCTCCAAAATAATCCCAAAGAGAAAAAGAATGAACCGCCCACTCCCTGGAAGCCTCAGAGCTCCTACTCCCGGGAGCGTCATGGACAGCCAGGGGCCTTAGCTTGAGAGACCATCAGTCATTTCCTGTCAAATGTATGTGCAAACGGGTACTGAAGCCACAGAGGTGCAGGGGAAGCAGGGAGGGGGTGAGGGGAAGGGAGAGCATCATTCGCCTCCTTGAACCCAAGCCTGTCTGTAGTTGTAGTTTGAGTGCTTGGTGTCCTTCTAACAAGGGAGAGAAAAAAAAAACAGACATCTGTTGTCCCGTGTTCACTGCAGCATTAGTCATAGCAGAGAAGATACAGAAGCAGCCTAAGTGTCCTTCGCACAAGAGTGGAAACTGGCCAGAGTAACAGTATGGCGGGGAGGGCACTTGCCTGGAAAGGGCACCCCATATGGTCCCCTCAGCCCACTGCACTGATCCCTGAGAGCAGAGCCAGGAGAAAGTCCTGAGCAATGCTGAACGTGGCCCCTCAAAGGACAAACAAACATTAAACACCAAATGGCTAAAGGAAATGCGACCTGTGGGCTGGAGAGACAGGACAGTAGGCAGGGCGCTTGCCTTGCATGTGGCTGACCTGGTTTGATCCTGGACTTCAGACAGTCACCAGAGCACCACCAGGGGTGGTCCCTGAGAAAAGTAAGCTCTGAACATCACCAAGTGTGGCCAGAAAGACAAAAACCAAACCCAAACAAACACATCTCAAGGCTGAGGTGGACATGCCTTGCATACATATATACACACACATATATATGTGTGTGTACCTGAATTTGATCGTGGGCATTGCACAAATAAACGCAAAACAAAAAACCATAAAAAGAAACAAACCCAACAATGCATACCACAAAGAGGAAGAGAAATGAGCTCATTTACTGCCACAAGCCGTGAGCACGGCTGGACCCAAGGAGATAAGTCAACTTTTATAAGTCCACGAAGGCTCATAAAAGTGTCTCTACAGTCCTCTGTGCTTTGTTCGGAGAAAACGGTTTATGGGGGAAAGGCTGCTTCATGATTTCAACCGCCAGGGGGGAAATGCATCTTACAGTGCAAAGCCACAAATACTAGAATGACAGTTTTGAGGGACAAAATGGTGGGGAGGGCTTGAGTTTCTCCTTCGGAATCCTTGGCTGAACACCCCTCTCACGCCATCTGGGGCACTCTGGACCTCTGGTGGGTCTCACAGGGAGATGGCACATTTCACTTCTCCGGGGAGCTCTGTTTGTACAACCTCTGGGGGAGCCAGGCCACGTGAGGATCGGGAACAAAAGGGGCCCTGTCTTGGTCCCTGCAGCTCAGGGCGCAATGCCTGACACACACTCTCTGGACAAAGGCACTGCACCCAGAGGAAAGAGGGAGATTTTTGTTCCTCCAAGGGGCACTGCAGGAAGCCAGGGCCACTGAGTTGTTATTATTATAAGACTCTGGAGGAGGGAGGCAGAGCGACAATACAGCGGGGAGGACGTTTGCTTAGCCAACCCAGATTCGATTCCTGGTATCACATATGGTTCCCACTGGTCCCAGCAGGAAGGATCCCTAAGTACAGAGCTGGGAGTAAATCCTGAGCACCACCGGGCATGGCCTCCAGAACACACGAACCAAACTTGTGGTCACTCAAGAAGTCAGCTGAGGGCCAGAGAGCGCAGTGGGTAGGGCATTTGCTTGCATGAAGCTGACCTGGTTTGGATTCCTGGCATTGCACATGGTCTGATACAAACGACACCAGGACTGATTCCTGAGCGCAGAGTGAGGAGTGATCCCTGAGCATTGCTGGGTGTGACCCCCAAACCAAAAAGCAAACAAACAAAAAGACCCTAACAGGGGCCAGCGCAATAGTATTAGTGGGTAGGACATTTGCTTTACAGACACGGCCAACCTGGGTTCAATCTCCAGCATTCTATATGGTCTCCTGAGCATCACCAGGAGTAATTTCTGAGTGCAGAGCCAGGAGCAACCTCTTAGCACTACCAGGTGACCAAAAACAAAACTAAAAAAAAAAAAAATACTCAGCTGAGCTCTTGAGTGGGGAAGACCCTCTGAAAACATCAAGGCCAGGGTCTGGCCCAACAAGGCCCTTGGGATAAACAAATCTGGGGTTAAACCTTAGATCTACCACTCGCTGCTGAGTGACACTGGGAAAATTACTTAACATCTCTGAACCTCTCTTCACTCAGAACGAACCTCTGTTCCACTGGTTCTTCCAACAGTAGAATCGAGTGTGCAAAGTAGAGAAGAGCTGAGAGAGTCTGCCACGGGCCACAGTCATGGTGGCACACAGCTGGCTCTCTGTACTTCAGGCACTTTCTGCATCTAATTTTGCCCTTGGACAGTATTCAGAGAAGAAATATGGGCAGAAGGAAGCGGCAGGGTAGGAGCCCCATCCTGGCAGCACATTTCCCACACCCAGCCAGCCTGCCAGCCCCTGCCAGCCCCTGCCAGCCTGCCTCGTAACATGAGCCGTGCAGTCACAGCATTTCACCTTACTATTTCATTACTTGGAGGGAGGTTCCCAAGCCACGCTCAGGAGACCCAGGGGTCACTCCTGGCGATACTGGCCAATCCATCAGAAGGTTCTAGATGAAGGCCGCCAGCAGTGCAGGGGGTACAGGATATCAGTCTCAGGCACCTGCATGTGCAAGGCACACACCCCTCTCTGCTGAGCTAGCCCTGGCCCAAATAGCCATTTAGCAGAGTCTCCGAGTCTTGCTCAGTGCCCTGGAGATGAGCTCCCCCGGGCCCAACCTCTCAGGCATCACAGGCAACTCCCCTTGCCCTCCCTGCTCTGGCCAACTTCTCTAATCATCCCACAGGTTGCAGCTAAAACGTCACCTCCTCCAAGAAGCCTCCCCTGAATCCTAGGAGTGATGGAGAGGTAAAGTGGCTTATCCATGCTTCTGGAGCGAGAAAGTGGGGGAGCTGGGTATGTAACCACACAGGCTGATGCCAGGGTGCTTTCTCAGTCATCAC